TTAAAGAACGAAGTTCATAGAATGACTTGGGAGATGGAGCATTAGTCAACGAAGAAAATCGATTAGGGTCCGGATTCGTCAACCAAATAACCTAAACAAGAAAGTTTAGTCGTAGCAAAGACACATTTATCAGAGTTAATAGAAACATTATGAGAACGAAATCTTTCAAGCAAAGCACGCAAACGTTCGTCATGCAAATGTCTGCTAGGCGCATGGACAATAATATCGTCCTGATAGGCATATACACCTTGTAAGCCAGAAGTGATTGAATTATTAGTAGTTTGAAAAATAGCGGGGGAAACACTAAGTCCAAACGGTAGAAAATCGTAGCGGAATAAACCAAGGAGTGTGTTAATAATCGTGAGTTCACGAGACTTTTCATCAAGAGCAATTTGAATAAACGCAGCTTTTAAGTCTAAACTAGAGAGAAATTGGGATCCATGAAGTTGGTGCAGAATGTCTTCTGGCTCGACGGTGGCACAACTGGACTGTTTCAGGTGTCCGTTCACAGTGACTCGATAATTCCCATATATCCTAGGAGTCTTCCCGTCGTTTTAGTGGAGTAACAATTGGTGCGGCCCAAGTCGAAGAATTTACGGGTGTCAGAACTCCTTTGCTTACCATTTCATCTAACGCCTTTTTACGGGCTCACGAAGTCCAATTGGGATAATTCGACGTTTCATAAACACCGAAGAACCGGTCGCTTCGAGAATCACAAGAGTTATTTTGATACCACCCTTTGCCTTGGAACATTCAAGTAATAAGGGACAAAGCCATGATTGATGGAAGTCAGACATGAATGAAGATGACAGATGCATACAATTCATACAATTCAAACCAATTATAGAAATGTCGGAATCAATAACCAAAAACGGGCAGTGAAATGTTTGTGATTTATCGTCTTTAAGGAGCAGTTCGCATGATCCTAAGACAGGCAAAGAATGACCGGTAATTCCCCTAACTGAAATGTCTGTGGGGGAAAGTGAAACTGGCGAAATACCTTGTTGGAAATGAAAGAATCAATACTGCTAGTGTCCATAATGAATGTACGGCGAATGGAGTCATTAATGATGAAGTCGCGAGTAATATGGCAAGAGAGACGTGAACTGATACCGGCTAGAGTTGATGACTGTAAATCACACAGTAAATCTTTAGAGGAATGGACAGTCGTACGTTTGGTAAGACACGACTTCGCACTTTTACAGACAGATTGGATATGGCCAAGCTTACTGCAATTGTGTCACTTGGCATTTCCAAATCTACAGGATAGCCGCGAATGTCTTTGACCACAGGAACTGCACTTGTTCCATCTTTGAATCCGTTGGTCATTTTGGGTTGGAGAACTGATGTTGCTTGGTGTTTTCGTCGGGATGGTGACTGTTTAAAATTGCTGGCATTGAACAACAAGTTGGGTTCATCACAAATAATGGCACAAACGTCTTGGTACTGTTCACAGACTTCCGTAACCAATCAAAATGTGCTATCGTGCATGAGCAGGAGCTTTTGCTGTAATTCCGGGCAATTAATACCGGCAATTAATCGATCACATAGCTGGGTTTGCAATTGATCTCCGAAATTGAAACGAGATGCTTCCATCTGAAGTTGAAGAATAAAGTCACGTTCAGGTTGGCTTCCACCGCGTGTGAGTGAATGAAATTTAGCTCGTTCAGTGGCTTCGAAATTAGCCGGCTGTAGATACTTCAGCAGCAAGCTATTCAGGGATTCATACGATAACGATATATGAGAGTCAGGAAATGCCAAATCCTTCAACAATGAGTATGCATCCTTTCCAATGACCGTTAGGAAATAAACCGTTTTTCGTTCTCCATCGGGTCCTTTACGCGTATTACACCAAATCTCGAATCGTTCAAGATAGTCTTTGAATTCGCGCGCATTGGCATGTATATTCAAGTTCTCCAAATTACAGGACTCCATTGGTTCAAAATGACCGCGACACCAGTTGTTGTGGTTCGAACGATCGTACTCGGACTAGTATTTCGTATGAGTATCGGATTCTGCGCAGTGATAGTCCGGCCCAAAAGACAGAAATCAGAGGGGAAATGGAATTGTAATAAGCGGAAATTCGGAATATACAAGGATATCGTGTTCAATAAAACAAAAGAGTTCATAGTTCATGAGCAGTCACCACAGTCCGTTCCATGTACCGCTCATTTTATTATTATTCGTTCATGTAATATCTTTTCCACTACATATTTAGTGAGCCCTTGTTTTGATTGTCTTTAGTTTCATATTTTCCCACGGTACCCCAGATTCTGTAGGAACTTCACTTTATGTTTTTGTATTTGTTCACTGTACATTTCACATATGGAGCACTCAAAACTGGACATAGAGGACCTTCTCATGTCTTCTCACATTAAATTGCCGGCATTTGGTAATAACAACCCCCGGTTTTTTCGCCGAACCTCAAGCCGATTTCTGTGCCACCGCATCCGGTTTTAGACGATTATGTATTCCCACATAGTCGCTTCGCTGCCCACCTATATTGCGGTACCGGTATTTGAATTCATCATCACCGTGCCTGAAACTGGCCCGTACACTCAGTTGAAGGAAGCGTTAATCACCCGCACAGCTGTGTCGGATGAACGTCGATTAGATGAATTGTTTGGGGACCTCAAAATCGGCGACCTCACCCTGTCACAGTTGTTGTGACACATACGACCACTTCTCGGCACCCGCGTACTTGATGACGCCATCTTCCGCCAGCTTTGGTTGAAGCGTCTCCCTTCAAGCATCCGAGAAGTTTTATCCGTCCTCTCCAACAGTTCGTTGGACGAAATGGCACAGGCCGCGGATGAAATGTTCAAAGCAAACCCAGCTTCACATCACATCACCGCTTGCTCCAACCCAACCCCGAGTTCTCCTCGCTGTGATGATATCACTTCACGAACGGAAAACCTTGAACTGCAGATGCAGCAATTGGCTCTTCACCTCTCCCGTTCACGGTCATCCAGCCGCTGCTGAAGTCGATCGACTTCGCAAAACCCGCAGAAATCACCCGCCAGCCAGTTCTATCCCTCAACATTGTTTGTATCACCAACAATTCGGCCCCAGGGCCAAGAAATGCACCCCACCCTGTTCGTTCACCTCACAGGGAGACCCCAAAGCCGGAGATTAATGACGGCACCTGTTTTCGGCATGATTCTCAGTCGACTTTTATTTATCTAAGTCCAAAGTACGGGTATCCGACTTTTGATTGATACCGGTGTTGCACTGAACGTGGTTCCCCGTACGGCGCACTACCGCCACCTTCAAACAACCGCTGTCACCCTGCAAGCAGCCAACGGTAGTCGCATTCACAAATGCAGCCGTCGCTCCAACACCCTCGATCTCGGTTTAAGATGACAACTCAGGTGGATTTTCACCATCGGTGATGTCCACACTGCCATCATTGGTGTTGATCTTTTGTCTGCTTCTAGTCTCGTTGTTGATGTCAGGCAGCAAAAACTACTCGAAACCTCCACCTCATTATCTGTCAGTGCTCGTGCATCGCACATTTGTTTCATAGGACTCCGTCTACCAGAACCCGAGTTATCTGTGTCCTCCAATATTCTTCGTGAATTTCCAAAGTTGATATCACCCTCCTACGAACCTACGAGTGGTACACACGAGGTGATACACAGCATCATCAACAAAGGTCAACCCGTCACCGCCAGACCTCGCCGACTGACGGCCGAGAAATTGGCCATGGCTCGCGCAGAGTCTGACCACATGCTCCAGCTTGGTATCATTCATGCATCCAACTCCCCTTGGTCGTCCCCACAGGACATGGTACCCAATAAAACCCCTGGAGATCGGCGTCCATGTGGTGACTACAGAGCACTCATCATAGATCGTCTTCGAGTAGCATTCGTTGACGAAAACGTTATGCATGCTAAACTAAACTTTCTGCTAGTCCCTCCCAGCCTATGAATGAGACACCAGTCTCATGTTCAGGTTCGCATTATTCTCCCGTTATACCAGCTTTAGACGAAGCGTCTGCTTCACGTTTTAGCTGATAGCCTCTACAACTTGCCAAAACTCCGAATGAGGTTCCATCCTCACATTCGAGTCGGCAATCAACACTCCATGTCATGGTTTTGGATGAGGCACTCGCTTCACATTCAGAGCGGCAGCCTCGCGCTACGGTTCCGACTTCGGAGGTGATCTCGGTTTCATGCCCACGCCAGCCCGATGCAGCTTTATTCTGACCGTCGAACGAGACTTCCGTCTCACGTTCTGGGCGAATGATCGTTTTGCCGGCACGTATTTGAATGCAGGTGAAACTCGATCCTGAAACACCGCACATTGTACAGCGATACCATTGCATCGACTAATATCACTAATTCTACTCAATATTTGTTTAGCATTTCGATTGCTGTTTGGTACTGAAAGTGCACGCATTTGCCTATATGCGGTTGTTACACCACGTGTTTCTCTCTTTTCATTTTCATATTGACATACGTGCCCTGACTACTGCATTCATCGTCCAGTGTATTTTGCACGAATTCTGATTCCACATATGCTGCCGCCGACTCAGCAGGTTATTCACAAATCCAACTGCATAACCTTTCAATCACGTGTGATTTCGGTTACGTCGGTCAACAACGTATGTACCTTAGCTCGGGCGTAGTACGCCAGCTGGTCAAACCGCAACGCAATCCTCGCTGGTATTCTGTTCCGATCCTAATCACGGCAACACACCTGACCCGACATTGAGTATCTTCACCCAACTGTTCCACTGTCCTCAATGCTATCCCAACCGCGAACAGTGCTTACCTACGACGAATGTTTTTGAACATCATGCTCCTCAGCATGTACCACTTTTTGTCTTGCCAGTTTCACACTTTCTAGCGGGGGCTGCTGTAGTGTGCCTGATGGTACGGTGAAAACCAGACAATATCAGACTTTTGCCGGACATCAATTTTCCCCTACAATTTAAATGCATGCTCACATTTTCACTTCGGTACCAACACCATGTGACGTTTGTTTTATACGATCGAAAATTGCTGCATCCTTCCGCGAGAGAACCTTCATTTTGCGCTTTTGCTCCGTTTCGCTCGTTATCGCGCTCATTGGTTCTCGTGCCTTCGTGCTTTAACGCAAACCTTCGTTAGCCGGTAACGGTACTCTTCCTGTGCCAAGGTATCTCAATAAACGTCTACAACAACCACAAGTCTTCTGGTTTAACCAGCGGTAACTTCGTTGTTTCACGAGCTCGGGGTTCCGCTCTGTAGTGCGTCACGGCAGGTAGTAGTCAACGTTTATTTAGCGCTACCTGGGTACCCTCCCAGCAAAAATTGTTTTGCAAAGCATGAATGGTAAAATCTGATGAGGGTGATCTGGTAAAAAGCACCACTAAGAGAAGGAACCAATAACAACAGAAGCACTCATTTCATTGAAAAATGGATTGCAATAATCCGCATGAACACGTTGTCAAGCCTCCGTTGAAATAAACCATGAGACTCAGTTGGATGGTAACTGTCGAGCTTTATGGTAGCATTTAGGGCAGCTCTTTGCTTTGGAACATATTTCGGCATCCATATTCGGCCACCAACAAGTTAACCTAGCCAATGGTTTAATCTTTTGTATTCCAAGATGGTCGGCATGTGGGTAGTCGAGCATCGGTGGAATGAAAACTCTGCCATTAAAGTACGGTAAGCCATCAAGCGTAATTGAAAGTTCATCACATCTAGCATAGTAATGTGGAAACCTCTTCCGGGTCTGTGCATTCCAAACCTTCCGCAAAACAGTCATCACAGCAGAGAAATAAAGATGTGTTTCCCGAATAAGTTCTTGACGGAAAACAGGCAGAGGTTGTATCAGTAGTGAATCAGAACTTTCACATAAGTCCGAAGCGGGTAGCGATTGATGCGAAATATAATCCACGTATCCGATGTGATACACACTGCGATGTTCCATTGTGTAGTCATATGCATTCAGGAAGATGCTCCAACGATGAGCCATAGTTGCACAGCTTCAGGAAATGGATTTTCCAGGATCGAAAATAAATTTCAAGGCCTCATTATTGGTAACGATGGTCTGAGGATGAACAAAAAGGAACCTATGGAGGTATTTGACTGCCCAATATACAGCTGAGGCATCGCGATGAGTTTGAGCATAACCCCGATCAGCTACTGTTACCCGTCGAGACACAGAAATTATTGGATGCTCATTTTGTTCCATAATAGCACCAATATCCCTGAAACTAACCGGAATTAACGGCCTGCCGGTAAGTCTACTTACGACTCTCAAAGTGCACACGACCTCCTAGTGTCTCGTTGCCCGAGGAAGTGGTTAGTGGCAAACGCTGAAGATTTACAAAGGACTCCAATGCGTTTTGCAAGTCCGGGTCGAAATATTGCAGTTGTGCCATACGTGTCAAATCGATC